AAAAGAAACAAGACGTAAGCTTCCTTCTGCCTCCCCCCCCCCCCCCCCCCGCGAGCAAACGCCAAATGGGAATGAAAGGGCTGGAGGGGCTTCCTATGGCAGAGAGCCAGGTGCAAAGGACAAAATAACCCCCCCAAAACCTCCCCAAGATCCTGCTGTAGGTTTCCCGAGATCACCTTGAAAGGGGACGGTTGGTGAGAGGAGGGAAGCTCACTGAACTTGGATTTGAGAATTGATGTGGATGAATAAACTGAGCTACGAAGCCGGAAGTTCCCAGTTTGAATCTGCCAATGATCTCAGGAGGAGGCAGCTAATAGGCTCATGGCTCCCTCCGCACCTCTGTCACTTGGGGAACAATAAGCACAACTCGATTGGCAGGTTTGTGGTGAAGAGAAATGCACTTTGGACCCACATGGAAGTGCTACTCCGATGCCGAAGATTATTTGTATTGCAGGCAGGGAGAGGGGATCTACTATGGATCCCCCTATTTTACCACCTCTGTGATCTGTTACAATGTCAGAGAATTATTATTTTTACTAAGGAGAACTAAATACTCTCCCTTCCTGACATGGTAGGAGGAGAGCTGTGATAATCTAGTGTGGTTGAAAAATAAAAAAGGTCTGGTAACATTTTTTTCTGACTCATGTTTTTTTTTAATTAAAAGATAAGCGTTTTTGTCTTTTGACAGGAGCTGCAGCTCTCAAAATCTTATGCCGTTTAATAAAATGTCCTAGTCAGCAAAGGTGCCAATCAATCAGAATAGAGCTGGAAGGGATCTTGGAGGTCTTCTAGTCCAACCCTCTGCTCAAGCAGGAGAGCCTATATACCATTTCAGACAAATGGCTGTCCTGTCCCTCCTTAAAAACCTCCAGCGATGGAGCACCAACTACTTCTGGAGGCAAGCAGTTCCACTGGTTAATTTTCCTCCCTGTTAGGAAGTTTCTCCTTAATTCCAGGTTGCTTCATCTCCTTGATTAGTTTCCATCCATTGTTTCTTGTCCTGCCTTCTGGTGCTTTGGTAAATAAGTTGACCCCTTCCTCTTCTTTGTGTCAACCTCTCAAATACTGGAATCCTGCTGTCATGTCACCCCTGGTCCTTCTCTTCTCTAGACTAGCTTCAACAGCCAATGCCCCCCCTCCCCAGCCCCCTTCCTCTGCCTGCACAGCCGTTCTGGGGTGGCCCTTCACAGGCCCTGCCCAGTGGCTCTGCACAGCCGTTCTGGGATGGTATCAGTCCTCAGTTATAGTCCTCAGGGAATAGCATCTAATTCAGCAAAATGTATGATACAGTAAAGTGTTTGCTTTCCTTTTTAAATCCTGCTTAGGATACTCAAGTCACAAGGCTGGCAAATTGGCTCCAGAGTTCTGGTGTGCTCAGCCCTTTTCTCTGACAACTCCTCCTGTCTTCCTGTTGCTCATCTGCCTCTCCCACTGGCTCCAGCAATTCAAACACTCGCCTTCTATATCACATGTAGGATGGTACGAGTGAGTAGATGGAACGGAAAACTATATTTTCACACCACCCTAAAGGAGAGGGGGTCAACGTATTCTCCAAGGCACCTGAGGGCAGAACAAGAAGCAATGGGTGGAAACTAATCAAGGAGAGGAGCAACCTAGAACTAAAGGGACGTTTCCTGACAGTGAGAAAAATGAATCAGTGAAACAGAAGTTGCCTCCAGAAGTTGTGGTTGCTCCGTCACTGGAAGTTTTAAAGAACTTCCAGTGATGAAGTTTTTGTCTGAAACGGTGTGCATGGGGTTTTCTCCCTGAGGGTTGGACTAGAAGATTTAACCTCCAGGCTCCCTTCCAACCCTGTTATTCTGCAAGGGATTGTTGTGATTTCTAGTCAATCAGAAACCACGATTGCAGGCCAGTTGCTGGCCTGCTGAATTTCCTGACAGAAGATAATGGGCACCGAAATGCCAGAAGGAGGAGAGATGGGGCTTAAATGCCCACTTTTGTCTGGGCATGACATTCTCCCAGCTCATTCGTTGGATTGTTAGGGGGCAGCACAGTCTGGTTGTCAATAGTATAATTTGTCCCTTGACGTTTATCTCACAGACTTGTATAGATATCAGCCCTATGAGGTAGAACAGACCAAAAAACAGACTCTCCATGGGGCATTTTTTTAAAAATTAAGATTGGCTACAGTAACAGAACTGAGCAAGTCTGAATGTCTTTCCCTCCTCCCTTTTTTTAAAATATTGGTGTGAATTAGGACTGTCTGCCTTGAGATGTTTTTGTAAAATTCTCTCCTCCTTTGGGCGTAAGCAATGTTTACCTGTTTTTAATGGACTTCCCTTTTCAAATCAAGGCCACCTCAATCCTTCCGTGACCCGTCAAAACCGCGGTCCACACAGCGCGACGAAAAAGATCGAAAAATTGAAATAAAAATTAAATTAAAGCAAGCCGATTCACATAAAGGTAAGGGTTAGGTTTAGGGTTAGGGTNGGGGTGTCACGCCAAAAGCGTTATGTCTGGTCACCTTACAATAATGATAAGTGTTAGTTTGTCCATTTCTGTTCATTCTAATATTTTCTTAATTACATTCTCATCTGATGGAGTCTCATCATTTTTCCACTGTTGTGCATATATTTCCCTAAAGGAACTTTATATGAAGGAGGAATGACAGTTGATGGGAAGATAGCTTTCCGCTTGAGCCACAGCTCAAATTTTAGGCAAAATCAGCAGACAAATGCAGAGACAGAATGTCAGGGAGGGATTTCCCTCCTGCCTTTGTGCAACAGGACACACAAAATACTTATATTTTCCACTGTGACACTGACAATTTTTTTAAAGTAACTTATGAGCCAAGCACTCTTAGACTCTCATTTCACTGGTACTTCATAATAAAATAGGTTTTCATCTGTGCTACACTTGTAAGCAAATACTCATCTCTAAGGACAACAAAGCTGGTAGTTGTTACTGGCACATTGAAGGCCTTATTTGAACTCCTTATTCAATTTCTGACTTTACACATCACAAAAACATTTTCCTTGGCATGTGAGCAGAAGAGGTTTACCATTGCTAAAATATTTTTGGACTTCAACCCTAGTATATCTGGGAGCTCTCCCCCATCCAACTACCAATTTGCTTCTGAGCCCAGATATGTTATATGACTTCAGTATTGTGCTTTGTACATCATGGCTATCTCATAGCATACTATAAAATTTAGAATAATCAACAAGCCATGATTAAACCATGGCTCTGTGTGTTCACTTCAGTCCGATCTTAGAATCCCCATTGCCAGGAAGTCCCCATATTATATCTGTCATTCGTCTTTGCTAAGTGCTGTCCCTTTAAGGGTTTTATTGCCTTGCCCCCCAAGGTCATTCTTACATACCCAGCATCTGCCCTCTAGTTCCTGCCTCCTGCAAGCCATCTTATATCAGTGTTTCTTAAATTTGGCAGCTTTAAGGCAATCTTGGGGAACTCCGGGAGTTGAAGCCCACACCTGCCAAGTTTCAAAAACTGTTCTATATTATTTCTGCTTATTTGTTACTCAGGACAATTGATCACTGAAACAGTTTCCCAGACGTGATTTCCCCCAAGAAGGCCTGACTTAAATAGCCGAGACTTTGATTTTGAAGCACTGTTTCAGGCCCACTTTGCTCTTGTTAGAGAGACCAAAAGAGCCTTAACTGATTAAATGAACCATTCAGACTTTCCCCAATGTAAAATCCGATAAGCTTAGTTGCCCCTGAAAATCACCTTTAATGATCCAGAACATTAAAGTTGTTATATGATGGTGGAGAAGTTCAATGATGAGGAAATAAAATAATCAGCCACAGCCATGGAGTCTGAGACCCACCAAGAGAGAGGATTCCCCCCCCCCCCTCAAGCTCCAAATCTCCTGGGACAAAGTCTGCAAAACGTTAATCTTGTATTTTCTTTCTTGACTAACAACCTGGACTAAATTCCAGTGCACTCAAAAGTTGGCCTAAATCGAGGAAGTGGTCTTCTGCCACCAACCCCAGGGACTGCTCGCTTCAGGGTATAGGGAAGGAAGGGCAAAAAATCTATAGCTAGTTCTGAGGCAACAGTTAAGACGAAGCCTATGGTGGTGAGCTCTGCAAAATTAACATCTATTCGGTCTTTTTGCAGACAGCCACTCAAAAGAGTACCGGTA